AACCGGAGCTGCCTCTCAGAACCACAGGACCAAGGAGCAGTATGCAGTCTTAGACTAGGTAGCAGAAAAAAAGAAAGGACAAATTCCATCAATCAGAGAAGGAACACTGCCTTAGATTCCCAGATTGAAAAGGACAACCTGGATAACCTGTATGTAAGCCCCCAGCAGGGTTGGTGCTTAGTAGGTATGCAGTTATTATGGGAATGAGAATCAGTGTCTACATTCCAGTCTCTAGGTTTGGGGGTTCTTGGAGGCAGAAAGGCATGGGAATTTGCTGAAATCTGAAATGGGATCCTGACCCAGATGGGGGTCAGGAATTCGTTTCCTTCCCTTTTTCTCCTTCTTAGAGAAAGCTTAGTTCACTGTTTAGGATGAAAAATAACAACCAGATGAATGAAAGAAGGATCATCAGGAATGATAAATAATACGCTCCAGATGTGGCTTCAGAGCACAGCATCTGAATGAGCACTGCTGCCTCCACATAGTCACCTTGGGGGGAGATCCCTTATTCCAACAAGGCTGCAATGACACAAGCTTTTGTAACTCCTCTTTTGGAATAGTCTTCAGTATATGGGATTTGGTTTTCGAATGTCCTTATTGATGACAAATTTTCATTCTTTGCTTTTGGGAATCAGTCAAAAAATAGTTTATAGTTAATAATAGTTGTCTCGAATATTTTGTAAAATGGCCATAAAGTCCATTTTTAAAGGAGACTGCAAAAATATTTTAATCAGTAGAGGAACTTAGGAAATAAATATATGTCCTTTTTAGGTGGCTGCTTTGAAGGACAACCCTGGTTTGTTCTCCTGCATTTGTTTAAAGGAGCTAATCACAGATATATATCCCATGTTGTATACTATATAATTAAATAATGTATTATAATGTTGAAGGCTGTATGCTAACCACTTCCTCCTCCTTCTCTTGCTATTATGAATAATGCCTCTGACAATGTATATGATGCATTTGTTTTTGCCAAGGGAGGGAGGAAGTAGAGGCATAGGGCAGACTCAAGTGAGGAATCAGTACAATTATCCAGGGCAAAGTTTTGGATCCCCATCTACACTTGAGAGTTGCCTAAATCTGCACTCCTCTCTGGACTAGCTCTGTGTTCATTGTTTCAGAGGATTTGGACAACTGGCCAGAGTGTGAACAGCCCTTTTAGGGCAAGATTTATGTCTTAGCTTGGCTCCCTGTCATTCACCTGCAAAATTCATCACTGAAATCTAAGAGAAGGCACCTGCTGGTTCGTGAATTATGTTAAAATGTAATTTTCACAAAAATGGAGGGGGTGCGGACAAAATGAACCTACACCACAAATCTGTTTATAGCAGTTATTAGTTAACCTAAATGTAGAACTCTCCAGTGGAAGAAGTTTTCAGCAAGATTTCCTTTCCTGAGGGAAGATTAGGAAGAAATGGGTGGACACCAGATCAGGGAGACTGAGGGTCATTCTCAGGAATACTTACCTGCCTTGAGCAGTGGCGTCTCTGTCCATTTGAAAACTGCTGTCTCTGGGCTTGAGTTGGGTGTGTGTGGAGTAGTGGAGGAGGGATTGCCTGGGCTGAGGGGTTGAGGGAGGGATGGAATGACCTCCAGGAGGCCTAGCCAGGCAGAACGCTTTGTGCTCCTTTGCTGATAGACCAAGCTGCAAATCAGGAATTTATTAGGAGCTGAGACTCATTTTCCCACCCTTTATAGCCCTGACGACTCCGAGCCAAACTCTGGCAAGGGGCTTCCTCATGGTTTTAATTAGACAATTAATTTTTTATTGAGTCGTTTGATTTCCGGAGCCGATTTCACTCTCCCTCTTGTCTCCCACCTGCCCCCCAGCTGTGAACAGCCACAGGGAGACAGGAGGATTCAGGGAGAGTGCAGAGAAAAAAAAATGCTGTCTGCCTTTGAGGTGATATAGGCGTCAGGGAGTGGGGAGGGGGGCGGGAATCGCTCTGCCACCCTCAGCTGGTCTAGCACCAGAGACACTATCCAGAGCTCAGACCTGGGCTTGCAGGGCTTGCACAAAGCCTTTCTTAGCTACCCCTCCAAGCTTCTCCCAGGCTGTCCGGCTAATTAGTAACATGGCATGGGAGTGGGGGCAGGGAACAGTGCCGAAATACATTAGCAGCATTTCTGCGGTTAATCCTGGCGTGCTTGGAAGCTGTTTACCCTCTACCCAGGGATTAGGAACCTGTTTGAGTTAGAGGGGCAGAGAGAGGCCAGGGCTGGGGTCTGTCCCCCACCTGCTTTTAGGAGTTGGGGTGGGGGCGCTGAGCCAGCAGAAAAAAAGAAGTCTGAGAAACCTGTCTCCAATCTATCTCCCTTATTGATCTCCCTGCCGTCCAGCTGCTGGCCTGCTTTTGAATCTTGATCCTTTCCGCTCCTGCTCCACCCATGGCCACTGCCCTTGTTGTCAAATAACAACTTGACTTGGAAAGGTGGGGAGGAAGAGGTGAGGATGCGGTGTTTAGCAGTAGGGATACGCTGGGGTGCAGAGGGGTCCCATAAAGGTCATATGTGTTCTCTTGGAGGAGGGAGGAGTCCCCTCCTAAGTTCTGACCATCACCATACTCCACCTTGAAAGGAAGAGAAGGCTAGACTCTAGGAAGAACTTACTTTCAGTAGCAGAAACAAGTAGCTCCTTCTTCAGAGTTTCATGATATGGCAAGACCAATGTTTTATTGAGAGCAACGTTGCTCAGAGGCCTTGGAATTGCAGGGAGTGACAGGACTGTTTCCTCAGGTGTCCTGTTGGTGGGGACATTGTCACTTGTTGTTCCAGTACAAATATTCCTGAAAGTGTACAGACACACACACACACACACACACACACACACACACACACACACACACACACACACACACACACACACACACACACACACACACACACACACACACACACACACACACACACACACACACACAGCGACCACACTGAAAGACATCTGCAGACACAGAAGTGGGCTCTGAGGAGCCTCTGGGCACAGGGCTCTGGGGTCCTTGCAGGTCAAACAAGCCCCCGCAAAAGAAAAAAAACAGGTTACCATTCAAAGAGAGGGGCTCTGATGACCCTCCTCATCACCCATGTTCTCCTCTAGCCTGAGTGCAACACCAGCTTCTGTGAATGTGTGGACCCATCTGCCCCACCCCCACTGGGGGGCCCAGGAGAGCACAGACTTTCCTTGGGGCTCAGGACAGAAAGAAATAGCACAGATTTATACTAGATTGTGAAGAGCACAAAGATAAAAAGACCCAGAGATCAAAATGCCTCCAGAAACTCAGTGTGCAGACTTTTGGATCTAGGATTTGTTCTGTAAATAGATTTTCTTCTTTTTCTGGGAAAACTCACATTGAGTGATCCCTCTGCTAGGGCTCAAGGTAGTTCCATGCTGGGAGTGAGAGACAGCCCCAGGATGGGACTCTGTGAGACACAGTCCTGCCTCCTGCTGGAGGACACCTCTGACAGCCTATCTGCTAACTCTCAAGCTGTGCAGAATGGAATTCAGAAATCTGCAGAAGAAAGGGACAGAAAGGTTGTGTATGGGGTGGGGGTGAAGGCAGAGCAAGCCCAAGATTATCCATTGATATTTGTGCCTCCATGTGGTTCCATGTGGGAGAATTCAGACCTTTCAGGACTCAGAACATTGGGTGAGGGGGTGCAGTATGTGCGTGTGGGGATCCTAAGCAGGGCACCTCTGGGACAATGGGAACAAAGGCCAGGCATGTAGGCAAACCTCTGTCAGAGAGGTCATGCGTGTGTGTGTGTGTGTGTGTGTGTGTGTG